CTGGAACAGCAACGTAGTTTTCTTAACATAAAGTTGCCCGTAGTACAGTTTGGGCCCCGTCTCTGCTGCTAAAGAGGCGGTGCCGTTCTGGAAAAGCATGGCCATCAACGCGACCATCGCAAGTCGTCCGTTCGCCAGCCTCACTCATTTTTTTGCAACCCTAAACCCTAAACCCTAAACCCCTAAACCCTAAACCGTTTAAATAATTAAGTCGAACAGGGATTTTGGGGGAATCTTCTACTCAGCTGTGGATCCGCCTTGCTGCAGAACCAAGGCTTGTTTTCGACTGTTTTGCGGGTTCATGTAGGGCTTTGGGGCAGCTTAGGGTCCAACCGCTCAGTCTTAGCTTTTCGACTCTAAACCCTCAAGGCCCTAAACCACTCGGCCACTACGTATCATTGCGGGAAAAAGTCAGTCACAGAGCGCTGTGAATTCACTTCTTGCCAAGGAGCCATCAGGACTGCTAGTATCAATAGCTCAGGACCCTATTGCTTCTCTGACGCACCTGCTGTTCTGGCCCTGACACGAACGACGTTCTGTCTCTCTCTGAGTTCTGCTATGACCACCCCAAGACTGTCGGAAGCACGCGTCTGTGCATCTGCACACACTGTACCATACATGCATGCATCTTTCCTCTACAATTGTGCCAAGGCGCTCTGCGGACAGCTTGGTCTTCTTGACCTCTGCGTCCTGGAACTCGATTGGGTCGACATTGATGATGAAGTTCTTGCCTCAGTTTTAACTAAAAAAAGGTTCAGGATGTAGGGTGCAAGAGTTTGAAGGACTTATGGGATTCGGGGCTTGCTATAGAAATCTGGGGGCAGGCAGCTCTCAACCATGCCCGAGAGATACAGTAGAGGGCCCGTGTTCATTCAACTTGGGTTTGGAGGTGTACTATGGCACATTGTAGTATAGTAGAATGTATGATATAGTATAGCATAGTCTAGTACAACATAGGACACATTACATTCCTTGATCCTGAGGTATTTAGGGCTTATAGGTTTAGGGTTTATAGGTATTTAGGGTTTAGGGCCACATACCCAAGGCACACCAACTCAACATCAACATATGGCATAGCCGCCAACCAGAGGCCTGTGTTCGCTCAGTCCCTCTACAACTACGACCCCTGTTCACTTATTGTTGCTTCAGCCTATCAACCTGTACTATAGTCACACAGAGATCAACACCATTAGCACCTCCTCAGCGCGGACTCCACATATCCGCATATATATATATATATGTATATATATATATATAGAGATAGATTTACGTACACAAACATGTACGTATGCATGCATGCACACATGGTACGTATATCGTTTATACGGCTCGTTCGTGCCAGGGACCCCCCATACATTGGGGAGTTGGGGGCAGGCACCGTGTTGTTGGCACCCCGCCGTTTCCCTTCAGTTCAGGCGCCAACGCCCAGGAAGCCGTAGCCCTCAAAGTCTCCCGGGGCTCGCTTGCCGTCCTGGATGTAAAGGTTACTTGTAATAAGCTTTGGGGTTATATAATATGGGGATTATAATCCCCCCCCAACCTTTGGGGTTATGTAGAATATAGGGATTATAGTAGCCCCCCCCCCAACCTTGGGATTATATAAGAAAGGGATTATAGTCAACCCCAAAAAATTACAGGTGATCTACTCTACTGCTAGGCGCTGAGGGCGCCAAAGGCGAAGGCCCAGATCGTTGATCGACTACGGATGAGGGTCCAGGATCGAGGTCCAGTGTAGGGGCCTGAATAGCTAGAATGAGTATAACTTTAGTATAATATACTCCCAACCCTAATCTAATCGTTAAGGCCCCTACATGACCGGTTCCTTATTATGATTTAAGTATAATATACTCCCAACCCTATTCTATTTATTAAGGCCCCTATTTCTTTTTTTTGGGGGGCGGGTCCTGCAAGCGCTCCTACTGCCAGGCGAAGACTGGGCTTTGGGCTTGAGGATCCTACAAGTCGATACTGGCAGAACTTCAAGGTAGGGTTTAGGGTTTAGGGTTTAGGGTTTAGGGTTTAGGGGCCCTAATAATTAGAATAGGGTTTTGGGTCCAGTATACTAGGGGCCTTAATAATTCGAGTAGGTTTTTGGGTCCAGTCTACTATAATTTTAATAGGGAGCCCTCCAAAATAGTATAGGTGATGATTAAAGCCCTTACATTGGGGGGCCCAAAACCATTTGAAGAGGGCCGGGTTTTGGGGTGTTGGTGCATTATTTCAGGCATTAATCAGAGTCAAAAGGGGCGTCATCCACCACCATCACACAGAGAAGTTGTGAGAAAACTACCGGGTTTACAGCTCGGCTGACAGGGCTCCAGGCTTGGAGGCTCTTGCAGATCTCTTGGGTTTCAGAATCAACGGGGCTCTTTCGTAGCGGCATTGTCGGGAGAGCAGTGCACCTCGTAGTGCGCAGGTTCAGGCTGTGATGATCACTCTGCTCAAGCAAAGGCTTCTTCTTCTGCTGTTCCCAACAACGCTATTCAATAATTCTCCCTCTCGATGGCCGTGAAGATGCTGAATGATGATGATGAGCACTGATTGTGATGCTTATGCCATACACCCGACTCATCGACTTAGTGTTCGGCACCCTACGCCCCAAACCAACCGAAACCCTAAACCGGATGCCTGGCGCCAGAAGTAGCCCTCGTAGTGGCCAATGAACAGAACGATTTGCAGCCATCCCTCAAGGGGGACCTGCGGGTGCGCCGTATACAGCAGAAGCCAGAAAGTTGAAACATCATTATCCTCATGCCCTTAAGCTACAGTAATGTAGGGGCCTTAACAGTTAGAATAGGGTTTTTGGGGGCCCATTATACTATAATCAAAATTAAGAAACCCCCCAAGATAGTACAGGTAAGTATTTAGGCCCCTACATTAGTAGAAGGACTCCCAACAGCACCCATCCCTAAGGCCCTACTTCCCACTTTCATGGGGTTCTCCCTAATAAGCCCTCAAACCCTAAACCCTATAAGGGGTTTATGAGGAGATTCCCTGTGCTTCCGTCAAATCATGACATTTTCTTAGGCCGCGCATGGCATGTCCCTTTTGGTCTAAGGGCCATGACATTAGGATCCCTATCATCGTCTTAGGGTTCCGTTAAAGGGATCCTGTACGGCTACTATAAGGGATCTTTGGGGTTTTGGCTTTAGGGATTTAGGTGTAGCATACCCCAGAACCCTTCTCAAATATTAATTATGACCCCTATGCTCAACCCTTATCACCCGGTTATCACCCCTTCTAGAAATCCTCAGAGGAACCCTATTCTAAAAATCATCGGGAGCCCATCGTCGTACCGCACTCGCTACCGCAGCCGGTGTTGCATACCGTGCCTCATGCCTCTCTAGCGTTCGCGCCTCGATGATTCCTACACCAAAGTACATCCTGGAAGACTTGTATCATTAGAAATTAGATATATTTCCAGATTACACTGCTCCTATAATCTTCATACTCCTGTGCCCTAAACCCTAAACCGCTACGTATGCAACTGGTCTTGGACCGCCAGGCAGATTCGTGGAGGAAAGGTTGAGGGGTAGTCGGAGAGTCCCCCGAACTGGAGATTCACAACGAAGATCAGATGATCCACCCCAGGAGGTTTAGGGTTTAGGGTTTAGGGTTTAGGGTTTAGGGTTCAAAATTCTAAGGGAACCTTGCACCCTGAACTCCAAAGCCTTGTATAGAATATCCTGCACCTTCGAGCCCGTCTGCACTACACTGACCCTGCTTGAGCCAAAGAGCCCTAAACCCTAAACCCTAAACCCTAAACCCTAAACCCTAAACCCTGAAGCCTGAATCCCATAACCTGAGAGTTTCTTGGGATAAGGGGTTGGTCTACCTTGCGGATAAGACGAGGGATCCTGGTAGTTAGGCCGTTAGTTAAGGGCCCTTGCTAGTATTCGGGTCCATTCTGAAGAAGTCTGAACCCACTCCGTCGGTTGACAGCAAAACCCAGGTGCCTTGGAGATCGCGGCAATGCCATGCGGCATGTCGGCAAACTTGATGCCCTTTTCCGGAGACCTAAGCTTGGGCTTCTTAGTGTCAAGAGCCCGAAACCCTAAACCGAAACTCAACAGCTGAGTTGCAGGTAGCCTGGCCATCTGAAGTACTCCGGGATGATGTAGCCGGTGCAGGCCAACATGCCTCAACGACTGGCGCAGGCGAATACAAGGGCCTTAATAATTGGGATAGGGTTTTGGGGGCCTCTTGTTATACTTACCGTATAACATACCCCCCCCCCCCAAAAGAAAAAAAAACCTATTCTAATTATTAAGGCCCCTATATTATGGGTTCCTTATTATAAGTTTAGTATGACATACTCCCAACCCTATTCTAATTATTAAGGTCCCTATATTGGTGCAGAGGCGCTTCACCATCAGACTGGCTCTTTTTATGAGGGGCTTCTTTTGGGTTCTTGTAGGTCTCAAGGGGTGCTGATGTGGTTTCATCCGGGGGGCGTAATGATTACTTCTACATATCACGCCCTACAATTCATAAGGGAATCATAATACCGGTGCCAATGATTTCGACACCTGTGTTGGCCTCAAGCTATCACCCTTTGCGCTCAGGCTCCTGTATTATCAACATCCCCCATCCTGAGCCCTATGCATCAACATCGGGCGACGATCGCTCGTCGATTCGTCACCCTCTAGTAGAGCATGAAGCCCTAAACCCAAAATCCATCCGAAACATCGCGCCAAGCGGCAGATGCGTCCGTGCTTCAGCTCGACGGCCCTTCGTCGCTTGAACGTGTCCATGTCGCCATCGGCGGAAAGGCCAAGGGGATCCCAAAATCCCACAGGTGCCTGAACACCCAGCTCTCCTTGCAGGGGTAAGCTACATTGCCATGCGGGAAGGTCGAAGCTGACACACACCGGTTCTGTGAAGTTTAACTCCGCAGTGAACGCTCCGACTCATAGCTATGATGCTTGCTGATACAATCAAAGATGTTGCCTGTAAGCCCAGGGTTCCTTCAAAGGCACGGAGAGGGGAGTCCGTGTAGTTGGCCCAGTCACCCCACGCGGAGCCGGTGAGTCCGTCTTGGAAGAACATACCGAT